CGGTCCTGGACCGTCGATTGTCGGGATCTGCTGCATGATCGGCATCCACATAGCCGACGAGATTGAAGGATGGGGTTGGTGCAGTTGAGTAGCACAGCCCAATCTTGGGCGTTGAGACGAAAAATTGCAAAGCGCGCTGCAGGTCCAGGTGATTTTCAGCCGTTGGTTTCCGTGAGTGCTGGGCAAGCTGACTTGCGATGTAGGAGAGGTCTGGCCTGCAGGTGACAGAGGCGAAAAGGAGGCATCCCAGCTGCTGTTGGTAAGTCTGGATTCCAGCAGGGGACAGGGCTTTGTTGTCAGGTTTGTGGTTCGGTCCGGTGCGGGTGAAATCTTGAACCGCTTCCCTAACTCCTCTGCGTACTTGGTTGCTGACAGATGAATGGCTTCAGGCGCGTAGGAGATGTTGAGGCCTAGGAACTGCTTCACCTCGTAGTTGCACGTGATGTCGACGCGCCCCGCCAGGGCCTTCTCGAACTGTTCGAGCAGCTCGTTGTTTGAGCCCGTGTAGAGCAAGTCGTCGACGTAGACCGTGAGGAGGATGTATTCCCCGCGGAAATCGCGGCGGTACATTCCTAGGTCGTGGGTGTCAGAATGTTATTCTCTAGCCTGTAGTGGGGTGCTCTATAGCGAGTACAACCCATCTAGGGTTTGCTATATGTATCCTCATTGCTGCTAGTGAACCTCCTCTTTGCCTAAACTTTCTCTTGCCTAGCTAGGGTTCTCCTAGCTATGGCTCCTGCTTATGCTTACTCTTTTGACATGGTAACAGAGCCTTCACGCTCCTGGCCTGTGGGCCCCACTGCTGCTTCCGCTGCCCTACTCAGTGTCGCGCGCCCCGTGGCGCGCGACCTTCACATTTTCATCCCGCCGCGCGCTCGGGGCGTGCGGCGGTTTTCTCCCCGCCGTGCGCACCGAGGCGCACGGCGGTTTCCTACCGTGGGGGACGCCCGCGGCCCCCCGATCCCGTCGCCCGCGGCCCTCCGGTCCCGTCGCCCGCGGCCCCGCGATCCCGTCGCCCTGGGGAGCCGCACGCGACCCCCCGCGGCCCCGTTTTCCCGTCGTGCCGCCCTGGGGAGCCGCGCGCGACCCCCCGCGGCCCCGATTTCCCGTCGTGCCGCCCTGGGGAGCCGCGCGCGACCCCCCGCGGCCCCGATTTCCCGTCGTGCCGCCCTGGGGAGCCGCGCGCGACCCCCCGCGGCCCCGATTTCCCGTCGTGCCGCCCTGGGGAGCCGCGCGCGACCCCCCCGCGGCCCCGATTTCCCGTCGCGCCGCCCTGGGGAGCCGCGCGCGGCCCCTCTCTGCCCCGTGGTCGCGTTCTGGGGGCCGAGCGCCGTCCCCCTCGCCGTCCCCCGCGCTCCTTCCCCCGTTCCGCCCGTTTTTAGGGTTTTGGGGTGCGGAGTGTGGGGGTGGCAGCTCTGGGGGTGCCGTGTGTGTGCGCCGTCCCCTGCTCCTCCTCCTCCTCCGTCTCCCACTGCTGCAGCTGCCGCTGAGGGGGGTGGATGTGTGGGAGCCGAGGTTTAGGGTTTAAGGGGGGTGCCGTGGAAGTGGAGCTAGGGTGTCAGCAGGGGGTGTGTGAGAGGGGCGTGGGACGGTCGGGGGAGGTTGAGCGGAGGCTGCCGTCTTGTCGTCAGCAGCACCTGTAGTCCGGGGCGCTGTTCCGGTAGCCCAGTCGTAGCCAGCTGCGCCAGTCGCCCGTGGGTCCGTTGCTCGTCTGCCGCTCTTCTTAGCCGCGGAGCCAGTTACTCCTGTAGTCCGGGGCGCTGTTCCGGTAGCCACTGTGCCAGTTTGACTCCTGTTGCCCGTGTGTCTGCAGCTTCAGCCGTCGCCTCTCATCTTCACTCCTTCCACAGTTCCTCCTCCTCCTCACTTGCCCTTTGTGAATGCCTCTAGCTTTGCTTGCACTTGTGAACCTGCTTTCTACCTGCTTGCTCATTGTACTGATTACACCCCACTTTGGCTATGGGGGTGTGTCAGAATGTTATTCTCTAGCCTGTAGTGGGGTGCTCTATAGCGAGTACAACCCATCTAGGGTTTGCTATATGTATCCTCATTGCTGCTAGTGAACCTCCTCTTTGCCTAAACTTTCTCTTGCCTAGCTAGGGTTCTCCTAGCTATGGCTCCTGCTTATGCTTACTCTTTTGACAGTGGGGCATCTGCTTGAACCCGATTTCAAGCAAGATGTTGTGCAAGTACTGCTGCCACAGCCTTGGAGCCTGCTTGATGCCGTACAGTGACTTGCGCAGCTGGCATACCCGCGAGTCACTTTCGCCATAGGTGTGTGGCTGCTCCACGTAAATCACAGCGTCCACTAACGCGTATAGGAACGCGTTTTTGACATCGATCTGGCGGAGTGGCAGGTGCCTTGCAGCTGCGATAGCGAGTAAGATGCGGACGGAGGTGTGGCGACTGACGGGGGCGAATGTCTGGTCGAAATCGATCCCATGCCTCTGGTCATAGCCGCGAACCACCCAGCGCGCTTTAAAGCGCTCAATCGTTCCGTCAGCTGCGGTCTTCACGCGGAAGACCCATTTCCCCGAGAGGATTCTTGCACCTTTGATTGCTGCGCGGTCAACGAGCACCCAGGTGTCGTTTGACTCCAGTGCCTTGATTTCCGCGTCCATTGCCTCACGCCATTCCTTGCTGTGTGGTCCAGAGAGGGCTTCGCGCGGGTTTCGGGGCTCGATGACGCGCGGCGCTTTCGAGGTTGCGGTGTGAAGTCCGAGCAGTTGCAGTCCTGAGACGGTACTGTCGTGGTGACGCTGCGGGACGACTTCCTGCACGTCATCATCGTCGCTCTCGGGTTCGGGTGGTGCTGATGGTGCTGCGCCTCCGCCGCTTCCGCCCGTTCCGCCTATTCCTCCTCCTGAGGAATCATCGTCGTTGTCGCTGCTGCGCCGATCTTCCCAAGTGAATTCGGCCCTGGTGTCCTGCTCTAGAAGTGCTGCAGCGGCTTCGTCTTCGGGCGTTGCGTAGCTGTGGCCGTTGTTCGCGTAAACGCGATCTGCATTCCTCTGTTCGTCGTCGCGGAACTGGTCGAGGAAGAGACGCTCGTAGAAAATTACGTCGCGAGCGTGAGCGGTTTTCTGACTGAGGAGGTCCAGTACGATCCATGCTTTGTACTCGTGACTGATGCCGAGGTGAATTCCCCAGCGCGCGCGACTGGCGAATTTGCCGATGGTTGATGTTGGCGGGCGGTACTGCACCATGCACCCCCACACGCGGAGCATGGAGGTATCCCCCTTGGTCCCGGTCCATTTGACGTGCGGGGAGAGATTCCCGCTGATCGTGGTGGTTGAAAGCAGGTTGTGCACCCGCACGGCGTGGTGCATCGCGTAGGTCCAGTAGATCGGCGGCAGCTTCGACTGCTTCATTAGCGCCCGCACCTTCGTCATCAGTGTGCGATTCGTTCGCTCCGCTACGCCTTGCTGCTGATGTGCGTAGGGGAGAGAGATGTGATGTTCGATCCCCTTTTGCGCCAGGTAAGTTTGCATCTGGTTGCTTCTGAACTCTGCTGCGCCGTCAGATTGCCAGATCTTTAGCTTCTTTCCAGATTGTCGTTGAAGAAGTTGTGCGAGGACTTCGGTGCCGATCGAAGTTGTTTCCTCGCTTGTCGCAGCCGAGTTGGTACGCGCTTCAGCCGTCAGATTAGTCTGACCACCAGATCCTCCGGCCATTTTCACACGCGAGCGTGTGCCATGTTACGATCAGAGAATGATCGCTAACCAGGATCTACTCGGGAAGGTTCGCACACAGGGAAATGTAGTTGGTGGGCCCGTGACCTCAATAGCAGAGTGAATGTAAAATGCTTGAGATAATAAGACCATGCAAAGACAATGATATAAATAAGGGTACAAGGGAATACGAAGCGACCTAACTAGCCATGTACTCTAAGGGGTACATTCCCTTATTCAAATACATTCCCAACCGTGCGGCGCGTACAGTTTCGTAACTGTTCCCGCCAAAACATCCTGCCTGCAGCTGTCCGATGCCGTCTGCTTCCGACGGTCCAGATGCGACCCAACTGTCTGACACTTCGAGTCAAACTCCAACTGTCTGACGGTTCGCTTTCTTGCTTCGATACTGCGTACTTCTCTTTGCTGCGGTGAGGAGTGCTCAGTAACAATTAAATGTTACTATTCGTAACACATATGACATATTTTAGTGTTAGTGTTTTTTTTAATAGAAAATGTGGGTGGTCGTTTTAACATCACTGCCTGAGGCGCAAATGTGAGTTTCGGCCGCGAACTTCACCAACCCCACAAAAATGCCATGTGGCACCTTTCTGGCCACTTGCAGCGGAGCACGTGGCAAGGGGTAATACGGTAGTGGGAGGGGAGAAATATCGGCAGATTGTAAGTGAAAGTACGGCGAAATTTCATCGAGGGAGAAATTCTCGCGATATTCTTCCGTATTGCAGCTACTCGTTAACGGCCGTTAGAAAAGGAGGCTGTTATAGAAAATCAGCCAAAAAGGGGGTATAGTAAAAACGAGGTCATCCATAGCACCCACCCCGCACGAGCTACCCGGGGGTGCTCTATCATGGGGGGGTGTTTTGTCCGGGAGAATACGGTACCTACACTGTTGCTTTATTGCAGGTTTTTGAACATGAGACTTCATCAAAGTTTGACGCATGAGTGGTGATTGTTGTCCTCTCCAAGGGTGGATTTTAGGCGTGCAGACTGTCAATTACCTGTGCGTTGGCCCAAGACAACAGGTGTGTGATGTTAAGAAATACACGGCAGGTGTGCTCCCTAACGATTAACATTCTCTACAAAGCAGTCTGTCGCTCTGTAATGCTCGGGAAGTAATACTAACCAAGTGCCGGCCGCGATTTGTGCTTGTCAAAGCAATGGTGATAACGGTCGTGCTGCAATTTCCGAGCAAATCACATGTGATATGATGCAATTCTTCCACCGAAAGAGAGGGAACCATATCCGAGAGAAAGAGGTAGTTTCTCAGTAAAAAAAGAACTCATTCAATGGACAATAGGTACAAATCATTTACGACACAACGATCTTGCCAACCATGCCAGCACCCTGGTGGGGCTCGCAGTAGTACTCGTAGGTGCCAGCAGCGGTGAGCTTCACGGTAAAGGTCTCCCCGGGAGCGTTGAGCAGATCGGGGTGGGAGATGGCATCGGCATCCACACCTTCGGGAACCTCATCCTCATCGAAGACGACGTTGTGGGGGAAGCCAGCGTTGTTCTTGAAGGTAATCGCCTCGCCGGACTTCACTTCCGACACCTTGGGGACGAAGGCGAGGGCACCGTCGCTGGCACCCATCAGGATGGTCGCGGCGTTAGCGCTGCCGGCCAGGAGCACGGAGGCACCGACGGCAACGAGGGCCTTGGAGGCATCCCTAAGGGACGCGCTCACGGGAGCAAGCTTCACGGCAGCGGGAGCAGCCTTCACGGCGACCTTCTGGACGGTCGCGGCCTTAAGGCCGGAGAAAGTCGGCAGGGAGGCGACGGCAGCCATCTCTGTGGATGATGTACTAAACGGAAGGACAGAGATTTGCTGGTGTGAAGTTTGGGGAAGTGCACGTACTGCTCGTACGATCTGTTCCCCGTTTTTGTTATGTACATCTGCGTGGAGAGAGAGAAGGAGAGGGCAGTGATAGAGGAAGGACATCCACGTGGCACGATGTGGACAAATTTTGCTCGTACTTCCACGTGGCTGGTTTCCGTAAACGCACTTCGGATGGCTCTGCCACGAATACGGTGCTTCTTAGATGCGACTCCATGTCAGCAGTGTACGCAATCTGGGTGCTATCTTAGAATCCCCACGCAGATCGTATAACCAATCCGAAAGAAACTTATGGATCTAGCCAATACATGAATGCCAAATGACGTGGCCAGAGAAGCGTTACAGCGTGTGCAAGTGACACGATTGCTCGACAACCCCATGTGCAACTGCCGTGCCAAATCGACGTCATTTGAGGTAGTGATGGCTCTGTAAATCGACATACACGCTGCGATTGGAACAACTCCTAAAAAGTGTGAATTAGTTGTTCATAAGCAAATTCTGGGATTTTGATAAGGGGGTCATAAACTTTGAAAGGGCCTGAACATATGACATGCCTGTGTACCTAATGCTTCAAGACTAAAGCGTTCGAGTGTTGCTGTGACTAGAAGTTGATCATAACCTAGGATCGTCTTGGGAAGGTTCGCACAGAGTCGTGCAATTGGTGGTAGGCCCTGAACCTCAATTCAGCGTGAATGATTGAGATGATAAAAATGTGTAAACATGGGCATATAAATAGTAGTACAGGGGAATACGAAACGACCTAGCTAGCCATGTACTCTAAGGGGTACATTCACTTATTTGAATTCAAACCCATCCGTGCGACTCGAACAGTTACGAAACTGTTCCCGCCATTTCCTTCGCCCTTGCAGTTGCCGATGCCGTTTCATGCCGACAGTCCAGATACATCCAGCTGTATGCGTCTTCGTTCTTTCATGCTTCGATACTGCGTGACTCATTTTCTGCTGTAAGGAGTTGTTAAGTTTTGTTATATACCCTGCTTGCTGTGTGTTCTAGTGTAGCTACAGTGGTGGTGCACCAATGTGCTCACCTTTCTTTGCTATATCTTGTAACCTTGCTGTAGTGAACCGCACCTTCCTGTTTCTCTCGCTCACGCTACCCCAAACCCTAAGGCTACTATTCTGACATGGTACAGAGCTGGTTCTTTCCCGGAACCTTCTCTTTTTTTTAAGAATCATGGGCCCGCCCGTACTACAGCGCGAAATGCGCTATTTTTTTTTTCTCCCCGTTCGCCCGTCGCGCGCGCCCTGCCCGTGTCAAACATTATATGTTTGTATTGCTCTAGCCTGTAGTGGGTGATACCTTAGGGGGTACACCTAGTTAGGGTTTCACATTTGTACTCCTGTTCCTCTTAGTCACACTCATTCCAGTCTCGTAATCTTGACATGGTTTCAGAGCAGGTCCTTCCCTAGGACCGTTCTTAAGGGCCCACCTACCTACCTACCTACCTACATACCTATCAAGCGCCCCTAGTGCGCCTCCTATTGCGCCCCTAGTGCGCCTCCTATTGCGCCCCTAGTGCGCCATCTTTTTTTTTTACCGCGCACGATCTGCTAGCCGCCCGCGCGCGGCCTATTTCGTGCGCGCGACCAGCCAGCAGCCCGCGCGCGGCCATTTTTCGCGCGCGCCTAGCTAGCCGCCAGCGCGCGCGGTTCTTTTTCTTCGAGCGCGGCCCGTCGCGCTGCCCGCGCGCCTTGTGTGCTGCGCTCGACCCCCCGCGCCTTCGTCGCCGCGGTCGGGCCTGCAGCAACAGCCGCGGCAGAGACTGCAGTCGCGGCCGTCGCAACTGCTGCAGCAGCCGCCGCCGCCTCTCCTGCCGCGGCCGCCGCTGCATCTACAGCAGCTGCAGCCGCCGCATCTACTGCAGCAGCCGCCGCTGCAGCTACAGCAGCAGCAGCCGCCGCATCTTCTGCAGCAGCCGCCGCTGCATCTACAGCAGCAGCAGCCGCCGCATCTTCTGCAGCAGCCGCCGCTGCATCTACAGCAGCAGCAGCTGCCGCATCATCTACAGCAGCGGCCGCCGCCGCATCTACGGCAGCAGCAGCCGCCGCAATCTACAGCAGCGGCCGCCGCAGCTACAGCAGCATCAGCCGCCGCTGCCTCTGCAGCAGCAGCCGCCGCCGACCCAGCAGCAGCAGCCGCCGCCGATCCTGCAGCAGCCGCAACCGCCGAGTCTACTCCATCGGCCGCCGCCGGCCCTGCAGTCCCTACTGTAGCCGAACCTGCAGCAACTGCCGCCGCTGTCGCGCTTGCCCCGGCCCTGCCTTGCCCTGCTGCTACTGTCACTGCCACGTTTATTACTTACTTTTCCTCCTCCTGCTACCATGGCTACTGCTCCTGTTCTAGCCTTCGACGCTGAGGGCCGCCCAGTGAAATTTGACACCTGGCTCGATGATCTGCACCTTTTCCTACAGCTCACTGCCAAGGAAGACATTTCACTGTACGACCACGCCCTAGGCCATGCTACTGCCCCTGACTCCTCTGCTGCTAGCACACTGCGCTCCCAGTGGCAGACCCGCGACGCACACGCTCGCTTTGCTATCCGCAACTCCCTGCCGCTAGATGAGCGCGAGCACTTCGGCCAGTGCAAGACTGCTAAGGAACTGTACACAGCCGTAGTTGCTCGCTACTCCTCGCCTGCGTCTGCCACCCTAGGCCGCCTCTCCCTGCCCTACCTGTTCCCCGACCTGGCCTCCTTTCACACTGTCGCTGATCTCATCACCCACCTCAAGACTAGTGAGGCCCGTTTTCGCGCTGCTATGCCTGCCGAGTTCCTTGCTAGCAACCCCCCCCCGCTCTGGCTCACCCTCTACCACATTGTCACCCGCCTCCCTGACTCTCTGCGCACAGTCAGGGACTCCTTTCTAGCTCGCTCCCCTACTGAGCTCACCATTGCCCTCCTCGAGAAGGACCTACTTGCAGCTGAGGCGAGCATCGTCGCCGTAGGTGCCTCTCGTGGCGAGCCCCGCACCCCCTTCTTCGAGGGGTGTTCCCCTTCCCCCCTTCTCCCCTCTGTCGCCACTGCTGCTGCTGTCGACCTCCTTGGTGCTGAGAAGGTCGGGGCTGCGTCTGCTTCGAGCGGGCGCCGCAAGAGCAGGGGGGGCAAGGGTGGGGGTGGAGACGGAGGAGGCGGGGGTGGAGACAGTGGAGGTGGCGGTGGGTCTGGAGAGGCTAGTGGCGGCAGTGGGGGTGGTGACAGCGGCGGCGGGGGTGGTGGCAGAGGCGGAGGTGGCAGCGGTGGTGGTGGCGGTCGTGGCCGTGGCAGGGGTGGAGGTGGCCGAGGCGGTGGCGGTGGCGGTGGCGGTGGTGGCCGTGGAGACGCTGGAGGTGGCCAGAGTCAGCAGCACGCCCCGACCCTCCAGGCCGCCCGTGAGTGGTACGCGCAGCGTGGGTACACTTGCACGTACGTCATCCGCACTGGTGACCGCACTGGCCAGCCATGTGGGAGGCCGCACCCCACGCAGCGCTGCTTCCAGCGCCTGACTGACGCGTGGCGCATCCAGTTTCCTGGGTCTACTGAGCTCCCCCGCTGGCCTGAGCTGGAAAAGAAGGGTGTTGATATCTGGGCTTTAGACTTAAATGCTATTCTCACTGCTATGTATGCGATGTCTATTAGTGGAGAGGGTGCCCAGTACTTGCGTGTTCCGCCCGACCCGGGCATTCAGGCCAGCCCAGCTGCTGCTCTAGGTGCTAGTGTGTCTGCTCCCACAGGTCCTGCTGCAGCAGCTGCCCTAGGTGCTAGTGCGTCTGTGCCCCCTGGTACTGAGTCGACTGCAGCACTGCACACCTTCACACTGGACTCAGGTGCTTCTCGCTCTTTCTTTCGTGACCGCACTGTCCTTGAGCCACTAGCTCGGCCGGTTGCTGTCTCTCTTGCTGACCCCTCTGGGGGTCCGGTCATTGCGACCTCCTCCACTACACTTCCGTGTCCAGCGGTTCCGTCCGGCACGCTCTCAGGTCTCTACCTCCCCTCGTTCTCTACGAACTTGGTGGCGGGCTGTGCTCTGCAGGACGGGGGTGTTCACCAGTTCACCCCTGCCTACGAGCGTGTGACACATTGCACGTGTGCTCGGACGGGCCGCCACCTAGCTACTTTCACTCGGGAGCCGGGGTCGGACCTGTACACACTGACCACTGAGTCCCCTCAGGTAGCTGCGTCTGCGTCTGCGTCTGCGTCAGGTCAGCTGTCCGCCCCCTGCTCATGTCGCTCTCTGGCGCATGAGACTGTCCTCTGGCACCACCGCCTTGGTCACCCGTCTGTGCAGCGCCTTCGGGCCATGCACAAACGGGACCTTGTTGCTGGTCTTCCCAGGGTGCTCCCTCCCCTTCCCGACTCCCCTGCTCCTGACTGCATTCCCTGTGTCGAGGGGCGGCAGCGCGCCGCTCCTCACTCCTCCTCCTTTCCCCCGACGACTGCTCCCTTGCAGACGCTCCACATGGACGTGTGGGGCCCAGCCCGCGTCCGTGGTCAGGGTCAGGAGAGGTACTTCCTGATAGTTGTTGACGACTACTCGCGCTACACCACGGTCTTCCCCTTGCGCACCAAGGGTGACGTCCCTGGTGTTTTGATCCCCTGGATCAGCCGAGCCCGTCTCCAGCTAGGCAAGCGCTTTCACTCGGACTTTCCTGTCCTGCGCTTGCACTCTGACAGAGGTGGTGAGTTCGCCTCCGACCTCTTGGCAGCCTACTGTGCTGAGCACGGCATTGAGCAGTCGTTCACGCTTCCGGCCTCTCCACAGCAGAATGGGGTCGCTGAGCGCCGCATTGGCTTGGTCATGGAGGTCGCTCGTACCTCCCTGACCCATGCGGCTGCTCCCCACTTTCTGTGGCCGTTTGCGGTCCGGTACGCAGCGCATCAGCTCAACCTCTGGCCCCGTGTCTCCTTGCCGGAGACTTCCCCGACTCTACGGTGGACGGGAGAGGTTGGCGATGCGTCACGTTTCCGGGTCTGGGGATCTCGAGCTTTTGTCCGCGACACGTCCGCGGACAAGCTCTCGCGTCGCGCTGTTCCCTGTGTCTTTCTTGGCTTTGTTCCCGACGCGCCTGGATGGCAGTTTTACCACGTCACCTCGCGCCGGGTTCTGGCCTCTCAGGACGTCACTTTTGACGAGTCCGTCCCCTTCTACCGCCTCTTCCCCTACCGCACTGCCCCGCTCCCCCCCCCGCCTCTCTTCCTCGCTCCAGGTGCTGAGGTACCAG